TTTGATATAGAAAAACTCTACTAAACTAATTCTTCATACTATAAGAACCTAATTTTACAAGCCCTAATTTTTCATACTATAACAACCTAAGAACTTCCAACAGGAAAATCCTAAATGTTCACAAGTTCAAACTCTAAACTACCATGCCCACAATTGTTCAGTCCGAAACAATAGTATAAAATATTGAAATTCTAACTTTCCATGAAGAATAAAAAATATCTTGCCTTCTAAAAACATAAACACATTAAGTTTTTTGGTCAATCGCTAATCTAATAGATTCATGTAGCTACAGCTAATCAATTCACGCATGGAGTTACAACACCTCAGTTTAGAAGAAGCTCTAAGGATTGTTGAATAAACATTTGTTTTCTTAACTCCGTTTGATCGGGCTGATTACATTGATAAAGAGGTTATCTTTGCAACTTGGTAAAGTAAATGCCAGTCAAACAGATGCCAGATCAAGTGCAAATCAATGACACATAGACCCTTTGAACTTCTTTTGACTAAAAATCACTACAAGAATTAAGACCAACCAAAAAAGATTTTTGAGACTTTATTGTGATAACAAATTAGGCACCAATTGTGCTCGTAGTCTAGAATCCATTAAGGAGCAATGCACCAATTGTTTATTTTTCCATGCCTACTGTTACAAGAATTTCACAATTTCTTTTAATATATTTTTCTTAAAATGGCAGACCCCTTTATCCAACTAAGCATTCATAACACTCAACATGTTCAAGTAATTAACTATTGAAAATTTATTAACATCAATAAAAGTTTTTTTTTTTTTCCAAATATTTTCATACACTTTCAAATCCTTTTGTTATTTCTCATGTTTTCAAAACGTTTGAAAAAGTTTACAATTTTATTTTCATTTCCAACCTAACCGATAGAACATACTGAAACGAAATTTTGATCCTATTAGAGAACACGGGAAAATTATCACATTTCTCTCTCACATTTGATTTATTTAACATCAATTTATAACCCAAGTTTGACATCACATATGCACACCCACACAGTGAAACCGAACAAAGTACTACCCAAAAGTAACAAACAACAACAATTAATGGAAAAAAAAAAAAAAAAAAAACCTGAAAACTTGATCATAACAATGATATCTTACAAATAACAAAAAACCCGATCAAAAAAAACCTCATCATAACAATTATATGATAAACAAAAAAGGAGTGAACTAAGATACAGAAAATCGAAATTTAAAATCCTAAATGTGGGTGTTTGCGATACAAACCCTCATTTCGAAATTTAAAATCCGAAATCTGAATCCCTAATTTCGAAATTTAAAATTCCAAATCTGAAATGAAAACCCTCATTTATGCGATACAAACCTGAATGTGGGTGTTTGATGAAGGTGTTCCTCGTTTTGCCGGTGGTGTACTGCTGGCCGTTGTTCGTTGCTTCCTCTTCGTCGTCGGTCTTCCCTTCGGAGTTCGGCTGAGTGAGGGAGAAGAAGATGGGTTGGATATCAAAAACGACTTTCCTAAGTTCAAAGGAAGAAGGGGATGGGTTTTGTTTATAATGAAATGATTTTCCGAAAACCGTTTTGTATTTATGATAAAATTATTATTTTAGACAAACAATATTTATAAATTGAAAAAAAAAATTAATAAAAATAAAAACGGTTTTACAAAAACCGTTTTATATAAACTTAAAATTAATTAGATGTTAAGTACAAACGGCTTTAGAAAAACCATTTTTATGAAAGAAAATTTTATTATTTTTTTATTTATAAAAAACGGCTTTGCCAATGCCGTTTTAAGGAAAACGGTTTTGGTAAACCCATTTCACCCTATATTGGGAATAAGGTAGAAAACACACCCTAAAGTGGGACTAAAATATTCAAAATGCCACAATCAGGGAAATTGGCCCACTCTTCTCTTCTCTCTCTCTCTCTCTGTGACACACAAACACTCATCCCCCACACACACACCAAACCAAACATATTTTAGACTTGAACAAACATTTTTTTTTATAAATAATAAAAATAAATATAAACCAAACGCGTTTGTAATTTATAAATATAAAAAAATAATAATAATAAATATAAATATAAATATTTTAGAGATATTACAAACATATTTTTTATTTTATGTTTTGATGGATTTTTAAACACTTCGTTAAAACCAAACGCGTTTGTAATTTATGTTTTTCTAAAAATAAACAAAAACCAGTTTTAAATTTTTTTGTAAACATAAACCAAAAATGTAAATGTTACCAAACGCTACCTTATTTATTTTTATTTTAGGGTTTAGGATTTATAGTTTAATTCTTAAAATTTATTTGAACTTCAATTTTATAAATGGTTTCAGTACAAATTTATTCGATAATTTCGTAGGTTTATAAATGGTTGTCTCAATTTATAAATTTGAAAAAAAAAACGTAAATTACTATAAATAATGCAGAGACTACGGAGAATAAGAGAGGTAGAGATGTGAAAGAGATTTGTGTGATTCATCAAAATAAGTAAGAATAAAAAATTGTGAAATTATAATTTCGAATAAATAAATGACATATTTATATCATCTATACAAATTTGATTTACAAAAACTATAACAATTACTACAAATAAAAAAAAAAAACTATACAGTCCATATCACACCTGCTAATGCCCAAACCTGCCCCCAGTCCCACAACCCCGACCATGGACCTCCCTTCTCGGTCTCCTACGGTAGACTCTCTGAATATCTGGCACTCCCTCTCCTGCATGTGGCCCTCCACTGACTGTCTGTGGAGCCTGTGGAGCTTGACCCCCCCCTCTCCTGCATGTGCTGCCCCTGATCCTGTCTCTGCCTGAAGATCGAATACTGTTGTGAGCTGTGAAACTCCCTCATCTGGTGCAACAGTATCATGATCTGCATCTGGATCTCGACCTCTGCCTCTGCCCGCACCCCGATCTCGGCCGCGACGTCCCCCACGACCATAACCTCGGCCTATCCCTCGCGCTCTTGGGGGGGGCTTAATATGGCCCTCATCCTCAACGTGGGAGATGTCAGTGAGAACTGCATCATGTGTACTCATGGGCGCGGTCGAAGTAGTCCCCAGAAAAGCAGGTGGTAACTAGGTGGGTGGGGTAACAACGTCATGCATGTATCGGGGCGGTGTCCAATCAGGGTCAACATGCTGGATAGGATGTACGCGTGGGGAATCTGGAGAAATGTATGGGGTATCATGCGGTGGGGTGACTGAAGTCTAAGGACCTGCTATGGCTGGCGCTGAAGTGGAAGGCACTGACGTGGACGAGACTGATGTGTCTGGAGCAACTGTTGCACTGTGTACACCGTAATAGCCAAAATGCAAACAATCTACCCGATGGGCGTGCTGGATCCTCTCGTACAATAACTCTCGGATCTCTGCAAGGGCCTGCATCGCATCCTTTCCACCACATCTGAAAAGGGCGTCCTTAGCCAAGTGATATGACCTCCCAGCTCGAACCACCTAAACAAAAAATTAGACATATTAGGTTATAGTTGACTGAAAGTAAATCAATTATGATATTAACAATTATCTGACACATACTATGATACTCACCAATGCCTCGAGAGAAGGCCCAACTCCCTGATATCCGAACTCAGACAGGTGGCTCGGATTACCGACTAGTAGATGTGTATGTCGTCGATACCACAACATGTAAGGATCGAGAGAGGGGAGGACCCCATCGCTCCAGTCAGCGTGTACAATACTGTCGCAACGGGCATCCCACAGCTGTATGTATCGCATATGATACACACTCCAGTCAGTGCCGGCTCGGCCACGTCTATCAGTCGCATGCAACCGCCACTCAATGTCGCACCAATCCGGCACGGACTGGACCTGACCAAACTGTCGGAGGACACGATCAGGAAAATGCCACTCAACTACGTCAAAACAGATGAGTAGCACTCTTGCCATCCATATCTCCTCACCTAGTCGGCAATAGTCTGGGAGCATACCGAGGACCCCGGCATAAGGCTGCCAGATAAACTACAATAACGACAAGTCTATTAAAAATCGCTCATGAGCATATACACTCCATATGACAATTAAAATTTAGGTATTTAAATTTCATACCTCGCCCTCTATCAACGGGTCAAGCTGGTCTCTATACACGACGACTACGTAGGTCGATACGACCTCGTGGCCCATGTCAACCCTCCACCGGCTACCTCGAGGTCCGGCTGGTTATGTCTCTTGTTTAAGGGATGGGATGACCGGTAATGGGTCGAATTGTTGACTGTTCAAGTGTAACACTGTTTAAAATGGAGGAAAGCTTGTTTTGCAACTTGTGCTTAATTTCGGGGGCGAAATTCTTTAAGGGGGGGAGGTTATAGCGATCCCGGGTTTACCCTTGTTGTACAGTGATCCGGACATGTGTCCGTGGATGTTGGTAGTTAATTATTATTTTGTTTACATCCTTTTACTTCGTATTTGAGTTATAGGATGTGTTGGACGGATTTGTTTCAGGTTGGTTGAGTTTAGAAACCAAAACTAGTTGCCCAGATTTTTGGCCTGTACGCTCGAGCGGAGGTGATGGCGCTCGAGCGGGTAATACACCCATCCAGTAGTTGTTGTGCAGTGTTGTACGCTCGAGCGTGGAGTTGGCCGCTCGAGCGGATCTGTGTGAGTGGCCACTCGAGCGTAGAGTTGGAAGCTCGAGCGGAGGCCTGGTTCTGCTAAAGTGCTGGGAGAGTGCATCCGGAGCTCGAGCGTAAGTTTGGACGCTCGAGCGGGTGTCTGTGAGTGACGCTCGAGCGGGGTGTTTTACGCTCGAGCGGACGACTGGGTTTAAGTTTCGAATTTGTGACTCTTCAAATCACTTTTTCACTTTCTCTTCTCTCTCTTACTTTTCCAAAATCACCATTGTTGAGCCTCTCACTCTAGACTCTACCTTCTCTCTAGGTTTTGATCTAGTAGGAGTGATTTACTCACCTTTGGCCTTTACAAAAAGGTTGTTGATCGTCGAGGGCTTCATTTTAATCTAAAAATCTCGGGTTTTGGAGCACGTTGAGTTTTGTCTTCTTCTCCCTTGGAGCTCCGAATTTGAGGTAGGGATAACCTACTCCTCTCTATGGGTTTTGTCTTTAAATTTTGGTATTTTGAGATATTGGGCTTGGTTTGGTAATTTGTGAAAGTTTGGGGCTTTTGTGTTATTTTACAAAAGTTGGGGTTTTATTCATAATAAACCTAGATGCATGTTTGGCATAGAAAAAATGGAATGATTGTTGAATCATTGATGAAAAATGGACCTAAGGGTTGAAATAGTAATTATGGAAAAATGGCCTAATTACATTGTTTAATTAATTGGGATAATTAATTGAGAAGAATGAAGAAATGAAATGTTGATTGAATATCCATTTGTGCATTTATTTTCTGTTTTAGAAATGATTGCTTTGGGCTATCGGTGGAGGATAGTCGTGATTGTTGTAGACAATGCATGATGATTAGGTAAACTGAAACTAATCAATGAAATGTATCATGGAACTTGACGGTTGATAGATTACATTAACTGTATGTACTGGGTGATTGTATATAGAACCAATGTGTTTGTATATGTTATGTGTAGAGGAGGAGATAGGGGATGTACTCCGCGGTTTAGGGGAAGATAGGGGATGTACCTCTAAACCGGATAGTGTTGGGAGAAGACAGGGGATGAACTCCGTAGATACAGCTCATATGCTTGTCTAGAGAAGTGAAGATAGAGCTTATATGCTTATCTTTGTGAAGTGTGGATATAGCTTATACGCTTATCTGTGGATATAGCTCATATGATTATCTGTGAATGTGGATATTGTTTTTATACATATCTGTTGAAATGATGATAGAGCTAGCATGCTTATCTGTTGTAAAAGGGAAAAATGAAAGGTAACTTGTACTCGTAAGTTGTATGACATAAATGTGTAATTTATGTGAATGTATCTGTGTTAGCCATCTATCAATTGCTAATATTTTAGTCATTGTTCATGGTTGGTTTAGTATATTTCTACTGGGCTGTGGCTCACCCTATATGAGAATATCATTTTCTGGTGCAGGAAGCATGCCACCTCCAAGAACATAGCTTGGGAGGCTAGAGGCGGACATGTTTTGTCGTTTTACTTTTGATGTATTACATGTAACTTCAAGCCAAGGGCTTTTTGTGTAAACGAGTTAGTACTCTTTGTTTGTACCCAAGTGTTAACTTGGAAAGCTGTAAGCCTGTAAAGCATTTTGTTTTGATGTTAACATGTAATACTTATGTAATGGAACTCTAATAAATAAAGGAATGTGGTTAGTTTATATGTAAATGCATGTCTTATTTGATGGGTTTAATGTTGTTATTTTGAGGGCGTTACAGTTTACCTCCGCAGATGATGAACTGAGTAGCCATTCTTCTGATTGCCCTTTTATCCTTGGCAATTGCTCTTGGTGGATATGCTTCTTTCTCCAAGAAGTTCCATACATCGTGATACCAGAGATTCCCATCTTGAACCTCATCCATGGCAGCAATCAGCTCGTAAGCTGGCACAAATTTTTGGTCAATGATGATCGGGCACATCCGGACTCCGAAAGGGATGTGTATCATAGAGGATAGAGTTGCTAGTGAATCTGCAAGCCTGTTGTTCTTTCTTAGTAGATGAGCGAATTCTCAAACCGAGGAATCAACAAGTCCAAGATCTGGTGGTAGATTCTCATCTTTTCTTCTTTGACTTTCCAATCTCCTTTTGCTTGAGATATAACAAGGTTCGAGTCCCCGATGACGTCCAACCATTTTGCCCCTAGTTCTAGAGTTACTTCTAGTCCAGCAATACACGCTTCACACTCTGCCTCATTGTTCGAGACTTTGAACCAGAGTTTGAATGCTAGAGGAATACGAGAATTATCGGGTGCTATCAGCAACACCCCTATCCCATATCCGTATTGGTTTGACGCTCCATCAAAGTACATCTTCCAAATTCTTCTTCGACATGCAGAATGGCCTCGTCTAGGAATAGGTACTCAACTGCTTCATCACCTTCCACTGGGTGATCGGCTAGGAACTCTGCTACCGCTCTCCCCTTCACTGACTTGCACATCACATACTTCAGATCGAATTCGGAAAGCAAAAGTAACCAACGAGCTAGCCTACCTGTAAGTGCTGGTTTCTCGAAGAGATATTTGATGGGATCTAATCTTCAAACCAACATTACAGAGTGAGCTAATAGGTAGTGTCGCAGTTTCCTGGTAGCCCATACCAAGGCTAAGCAAGCCTTTTCCAAGGGAGTGTAACGGGTCTCGTAATCCAGCATCTTCTTGCTCAGGTAGTAGATAGCTCTCTCCACTTTGTCGTCAGACTCCTGTGCAAGCATTCAGCCCATTGTAGTTTCAGTTACTGAAAGGTACAAAATCAACGGTTTCCCCGGCTCAGGCGGTGACAACACGGGTGGGTTCTGTAAGTATTGCTTAATCTGTTCAAAAGCAGCTTGGCATCTGCCGTCCCATTGGAACTTCATTCCTTTCATTAGGAGACCAAAGAGTGGTTCACAAGTCAAGGTTAATTTAGCAACAAACCGTCTTACGAATTGCACTTTACCCAGAAAGCATCGCACCTCCTTTTCAGTCCTCGGTGGCGGCATTTCTAAGATGGCCTTGGTTTTGGAAGGTTCAACTTCGATACCTCTCTGTGTAACAAAGAACCCTAGCATTTTCCATACTATAACACCGAACGTACATTTCTGAGGATTCAGCCGCAACCGATATTCCCTGATCCATTGAAAGAATTTCTGCAAGGCGGTGTAGTGGCCCTCTCTTGCCTTAGACTTAACAATCATGTCGTCCACGTACACCTCAACCTCGTTGTGGATCATATCATGCAAAATCGTGGTCGCAGCCCGTTGATATGTAGCCCCAGTATTCTTCAGCCCAAGCGGCATCACCCTATAACAGTAGGTCCCCTACGGGGTGGTAAAAGTATTATTCTCTCGGTCTTCGGGTGCCATCAGTATCTTATTGTAGCCTGAGAATCCATCCATGAACGAAAGTAGTGCATGCCCACCAGTGAGGTCCACTAACTCATCGATATGCGGCAAAGGAAAGTCGTCCTTCGGACTGGCTTTGTTCAGATCCCTGAAATCCACACATACCCGAATTTTGCCATCCTTCTTTGGCACCGGAACTATGTTGGCCAGCCAAGTTGGGTACTTAGATACCAGTAGGAACCTTGCATCGATTTGCTTGGTGACCTCTTTTTTGATCTTGATGGCCTAGTCGGGGTGGATCCTTCAGAGCTTCTGTTTCATAGGTCGGGCCTCAGGGTCAAGACGGATTCAGTGCTGTACAATCTCAGGATCGATTCCAGGCATGTCTTTGTAGGACCACACGAAAACATCTTTGAAATCTTTTAATAAAGCGACTAAGCGCTCGCGCTCCTCCAAAGACAACGTGGACCCGATCTGGACCAGTCGCGGGTCCTTTTCAGTACCAACACAATTTGGGTGATTTCATCAATCAAGGGTATAACAAATCTCTCCTTCTCTTGATCAATTAATTGTTGTAAAACTGAAGGAATTTCTTCCTCCTCGTTTTCATCAAAATTTTGAAATTCCTGATTAATACAATAAATCAAAGGCACAGAAAAATACTCAAAAGCCACAGCCACTTCATTCTCATTAATCACTTCCAAGTTGCCTGATTCCTCTGTTACAATAGACTCAAAGGAAAAAGAAAAAGACGCCCTAGACAGGACTGTGGCATCCGGGTTGTCACCCCCAGGAATACCAGACTCAGACTCAGACTCAGACGAGCTGGAATCTGATTCTGACCCTACAGACTCAGTAGAATCAGATTTCGGCTCACTACCTGACCCGGTGCTACTCGATAAGAATCCCTCCTCGTACTGCTAGACGAGGGAGGGTGCGATGGACGCATTCAAAATGTTTGCAGATGGGCTCGCAGCCACTTCATTTCTAATCATAGACACTGAGAGATCATCCCCCAAGCACTCATGTACGATCGGAGGATCTGATAGTAGACACGCCAATGCTACCCCCATTTCAAGCTCTGTGCTCTCAGGATCCACTGTTTCACATTGCTCAACCTCAGTTGGTGGGTCTGTCTGCGCTTCGGCAACGTCATCCCCAGATAATTGTATGTCGAAGAAGATTTCAAAACCAGGCACGCGCTCCCCTCCGCGTTTAGCCATGGCTCCGGGAAGCCGCAGAACG